AAGAAGAAACGGAAGAGGGAAAGAGAAGGAGGAATTCCAAGAAAGGTTTCGCAAAGATGAACAAAGATAGAAAGATGAAGGATAGGTAAGATGGTTCAAAGTAACCCCAAAATAATTAAGGAATCAATGGAGGAAGGCAGAAGCGGGAAGGCAGAGTCCAGCACGGACAAAGGAGACAAAGAGGACGATCTCATTAGGACCTAGAGCAGGGACCCGATGCTCGCCTGGAGCTCTCCATTCAGCAATGTCCTTGCTCTGGATCAAGCCGTCGCTGATAAACTCGCGAAGCTGGTCTTCGGTTATTGTTGGAGCCGGCCAAACCTTCTCGATCAAAGAAAGGGATGACTCCTCGTCCACGAAGGCTGCCTAGGACTTGTTCGCAGCTTTCTTCTTGCCCATATGCTAATGGAAGCAAGAAGGCAATAGGGAAAGATGAGGCTCAGACGGCGACGCTAAGGTGACGATGACAATGGCGGCGGCGGATTTCTAAAAACTAGGGTTTCAAGGCAAGAGCAGGGCAGCAAAGGAAAAGAAGATGAAAGGTCTTTAAATAGATTTTACAGCGATAAAAATGGCCCACCAGGCCCGTTAAAACACGGTGTGGGAATGCAACGGTCCATCTACTAACACAGCTAAAGTGATGGACGGCACAAATCCACACAACAGTACAATTTAACGGGTGGATTTTAGACTTATCCATCTAGCACCACGGCAAAGTTATCAGATTACTACAAGAACAACCCGTCAACCATGAAGAAACGAAGGGCTACCTCACAAGGAACATAAGAACCCGGTTCTTACAGAAAGAACTCGGGAATCTCATGAACAACCAGGACTATAGCAGAAAAATGAATGACAACTCAGAAGACAAGATTCTTTCCATTACAAGTGGTCTCAAAAAATAGAAGATTACACATCTTACAAGACCCAACGAACTCGGTACTACGACAATCAAGGTAGCAAAGAGGAACCTGGACACAGCTAGGCTCTGGAACAACTACGTGTCCCAAATTGCTACTCGGTAGAACAAACCACACTCGGCTACACTGTTTTTCTCAAAGGACGGAAGCGGTGCATCCAAGGCGAAAATCAGCAGCACGGCGGGACAACATAGACCAGGGGAAGTCGGCAGGCATCTATCTACCCAAGCCCGACGTGATGCAGGATCAGGTGCTAATCTGCACCGAACAGTCGCAGGGCGGGCAAGAAAGATCAACCCAGAACTGCTGGATGAAGGAACGCATCCCACATCACAAGACTTCCTCCAACTACCACCACGTACTTCCAAGTACAATGCTGCTGCAGGATTAGTCTACCTCTAATCCCTATCACAAGACTTCCTCTAGCTACGACAAGACGCACAGGAACTACAAAATACGTCCGAGGGCTGCTCTACTTCACAAACTACCGTATTCATAACCACGAAGGCTTCAACAAAATATTCAATGGATGAAAGCAAGCACTCCTGGAGGGTATTTATAGATCGAAGGAGCGGCGCACATGGACTAGGAGTACCAACGAAACAAGCCTAACAAAGGACACAGTGAAAATACATGACTCAATAATGGAAGACTCAGGCAAGAAGGAACAGTACTCGAAGATGAGCATATTCGGAAGAATATGCCAACGCTGTACAACCCGTGAACAGGCAACATTTACACTCAACCACCACCATATAACTACACCTGACAAACGGTAGACTACCAGAGAATACGCCAAGATAATGCATCCGGGTTCTTTTTTCAAAGAACCCGGATAAATGCTCAAAGGCTGCAACATGGGAAGATTTCAGTTTCCTCGAATAAATCAGACTCAAGACCCTCCAACTCTTTGTTCCAAAAAGCAAGAGGCTTGGGGGCTACACTCAGTGAGTGCACTTTTTCTTCAAAAAAGCGCACGTCACTCGAAAGGCTTTTTTTTCAAGGCAGCAATTTTCAAACAACATAAGATTCAAGACCCTCCAGCTCCTTGTTCCAAATAGCAAGAGGCTCGGGGGCTACACTCAGTGAGTGCACTTTTTCTTCAAAAAAGCGCACGTCACCAAGAAGACTTCTTCAAGATAAAACTACTTCAAGGACTCATGACAAAAAGAAGCCGGACCGAGCTATATCCGAGTTCTTTTTGACAAAGAACCCAGGTACATGCTCGGGAACATTTCAACGAAGGATCAGACCGATTTCAAGACAAGACCCTCCCGCTCCTTGTACCAAATAGCAAGAGGCTTAGGGGATACACCCAAAGGGGAGTACTTTTTTCTTCAAAAAGGTACACACCACGAGCAGATCTCACAGAGCGCTTTACGGTTTTGCTCAAGAAAGCACTTGGACGATGCTTGTTCCTGCTCGGCAAGACCTGAAAGAACAAGACGAGGCTTCCAGAGCACAACCATGAAGTGCTCGGGGGCTTGTTAGTGCGGGACCCGCAGGATACCCCGCAAGGAAGAGAGAAGATCTAGTCTAACTAGGATTCTCCACATGTAATCTTAATAGTAGTATTATTCTGTAATCCTACTAGGAACTCTCATTGTAAATCGACTAGGATTCTAACCTCTTGATTATATAAAGGAGGGCACGGATCCTAGAGAGGGCGACAACGCAACAACACACAATCAATACAACACAGAGGCTAACGCCGACTGGACGAAGGGCTATTACTCGACCACAGTCGAGGGCCCGAACCAGGATAAATCGACTGTCTCTTGCGTTCACCATCGAGTTCCGCATAAGCCGAAGCCCGAACATACTGTCCCGGATAACCCCGTGGTAGGCTATCGGTGGTAAAACATCGACACATACTCTTCCTCCCAGTACCAGCCTGAACATCCAATGCCATCCCACTAATAGATCTTTAATCACAATCATCATGAAAATAAGTATAAATTAACCATAATCATCAAATCCGACAAAATAACTCACATTGCGATCCGGACACTTATAGAAGATACGGCCCTTGTTGGGACACTCCTTCCTCACCCGGTACTCCATCACAATGTTCTCCTCACACTTGTCGCATGCAATGAGAGGGAGGTCCGGCCTCAATCGCTTTGGAACCCGATAAGAGATCGAGGACTCAGAAGCAGTTGACATCTACTCTCTATACTCATTTTTAATATAATATAAATTTCTTATTTTATAAACAAATAAAATTAAAAAAACTCTAAAATTCTCTATATCTCTAAACCATGAAGTGTGCTATGCATGCTAGAAATGAAAGCTAAATACTAGTTTCGAATAACTACTTTAACCTTTCTTCATCCAAATATACAAACTTTAAAGTGATTTTAAGCTTAAATAGCTTACAAATAAAAAAATCCACCATAAAAAACCACATATATCTGGTCCACAAAATGAGATATGCTACTGATGAAACATGAGAGTATAAAGTTGGTAACCTTTAGAACCGAAGAATCGATGGAGGAATCGAAGAAATCTTGTGATTACCGGCGATGAGGAAGAAGAGAGGCCGGCGATGAAGCAAGAACACTGAGCTCGAAGTGGCTCGGGCTCGGAGAGGAAGAAGTCGGGGAGAAAGAAGGGTTATATAGGAGGGGCCTTTAGTCCCGGTTGGAGACAGAAACCGAGACTAAAGGTACCTTTCTAGTCCCGGACAGAGCCTACAGCTGGGAGTAGACTTTTACTCCCGGTTGGAGCTACCAACCGGAAGACGTACCAATCGGGAGTAAAAGTTAACATTTAGTTTCGGTTGGTAGCTCCAATCGGGAGTAAAGGTCCCCTGCAGCAAAAGCCTGCCGCAGTAGCCGTTGGGCAGGAACATTTAGTCCCGGTTGGAGCTATAAATCGGGACTAATGGTCTCTCTAGTCCTGAGCGTGAAAAATACCGGGACTAAAGCCAAATTTTGAGCTGGATCAAAGGTCGTTTCTCTACTAGTGACCTGTGACTCGTGTTAGATCTTTATTTCTATTATTTGCTAACAAATGGTATCTATAGCTATATATGAGATTGAAAAAAAGATTTAGCAAGGTTTTATTTTCTGTTCATCGTCACGCTGCCGCCGTTGCTGTTGCGGGATTGATCTGTCACTCGGCGATTCCCACCGTGCTATCCAGGAACGGAATTGTCTTGCCTGTTGCCGCCGCCGAGCCCAAATCTCTCTGGTGCATCTGGGATTCGGTCGTTCAGAGTGACCGAACGGTTGGTATACCGAACGGTTGGTATATACTAAATGTACCTAACGTCCCGATGAGACTGCAGGTAAATTCGGATCATTAGAAATGGAACCTCTATATACATCGACGCAAGAAACGTAAAAGATCTGGCAAGTTTATAGGCTGATGAGAAAGAAGATAACCATTATCCAAATGAGCGAGGACAGATCGAGAGGAATAAGGATCATTAGTTGAATTAGCAGGATAACGACGCTAGATCCTTAGAGCAACTCATGCTATTTTTTATTTTAAGCCCATTTTAGACAATCTATGATATAAAATAGTCTCCAACAGCTATGCTATCCAGGTTTCCAAAATACCCAGTAGGCTATCCCATCTTTTTCGCTAGCTAGAAATAGCAAGCCTGGAGCGCTTGCCATCGGCTCTCTCGCCCTGATTTCATGGGGCTCCGGTGAACATTTAGTTGACGAGATTGGTGGAGCCAAAACAAACAGTAGATGACGTGGCAAGTTTTGACTATGAAACACCAAATTTACCACAGCTGTTGGAGAATCCATGTTTCTTTTAGGAGATTTTATTTTAGAAGATGGCTAAATCATGGATATTGAAATCTATTTTTGGCTAATCTCTTAGAGTTGCTCTTATCATGCGCGTGACAAGGCTAATTCGCGATCCCTCACCACGAGCTATAAATAGCGGTATATGCCTGCACCCTAGCCGTCATTACTGTGCATTTATCTTCAGCAGTCAGCACACACCGCGCCATACCCTTAAGCGATAGCCGATAGATCAACATGGTGCAGCGGATTTCCACCGCCGAAGTGATGTCCATGGACCTCAGCCCAAACAAACCGAACAAGGCCTATGGCAGCGATGGCGGCGCCTACTACGACTGGTCCCCCGCCGACCTGCCCATGCTCGGCGCTGCCTCCATTGGCGCCGCCAAGCTCTGCCTCTCCGCCGGAGGCCTTGTCCTGCCCAGCTACTCAGACTCTGCCAAGGTCGCCTACGTCCTCCAAGGCAAGTACATAACATATTCTGTTTCCTCTTTTTAGTCCTAGTAAAAAATCGATCTATCTCCATATGTCATATGTATGCATCGATTGTTAGATGATCTTCAGTTAACTCAGACTCCCATGCAGGTAAGGGTACGTGCGGCGTGGTTCTGCCGGAGGCGACCAAGGAGAAGGTGACCCCCGTCAAGGAGGGTGACTCGCTCGCGCTCCCTTTCGGCGTCGTCACCTGGTGGCACAACGCGCACGCCGCCAGCTCCGACCTCGTGGTCCTCTTCCTCGGCGACACGTCAACGGGCCACAAGCGGGGCCAGTTCACCAACTTCTAGCTCACCGGCTCCACGGGCATCTTCACTGGCTTGTCCACCGAGTTCGTTGCCCGCGCATGGGACCTCACCCAGGACGCCGCCGCCGAGCTCGTCTCCACCCAGCCCGGAGCCGACATCGTCATTGTCAAAGACGGCCACAGGATGCCCGAGGCCCGCGACGAGGACAGGGAGGGTTTGGTACTCAACTTCCTGGAGGCGCCGCTCGACGTCGACATCAAGAACGGTGGCCGCGTCGTCGTCCTCAACACCCGGAACCTGCCGCTCGTCAAGGAGGTCGGGCTCAGCGCTGACCTCGTCAGGATCGACGCGCACTCCATGTGCTCGCCCGGGTTCTCCTGCGGCTCCGCCTACCAAGTCACCTACATCGTGCGCGCCAGTGGCCGCATACAAATTGTTGGAATCAACGTCACGCGGGTGCTCGAGACCCGCGCCGAGGGAGGCTGCCTCTTCATCGTGCCCAGGTTCTTCGTTGTCTCTAAGATCGCCGACGAAACTGGCATGGAGTGGTTCTCCATCATCACCACCCCCAAGTAATACTCTGATCCGTACTAAATTATTAGTTAATTAATTAGTGTAATATAATTTAAATTACCACTGTAACACCCCCTGTGCTAAACATTGCATTTGACACCTGCATTTCACGAGCACAAGCATCATCCAAGCATTCATGAACATGAGCATATGAAATTTCATCTCATTCTTATACATTGTCACATGAAATGTTGATTTTTATGTGTTTATGCTTTCAATCATGTATGACCAATGTATGAGATTGTTGGAAGGTCATGAAAACACCATAGACACATCTAGGATGATCAATGGAATAATGATTGCATTCATGACCTAGACCAATTTTGTTTCTAAGTGTTTTGGTTTCATTTGAAATGTCATTTTCAAGATGCTAGTTTGACCAAAGTTGAACAGTAGCTTAAAGTGTTTGCATAGCTGTGTGACCTAAATAAAAGTTGTAGTACTTGATTAGGGTAACAATTTTTATTTTTGGGTCAAGCTCTAATTCAGTGCATAGCATGTTCAAAAACAGCTTAGAAGTATCAACAAAATGTTGTTTTGAGACTTGCAAAATTTTCTAAATGTTAAAACGATTTTCAGTTTCAAAGTACTTTACTTTGGAGCAGTGTAGTTTGTTAACCAGTGAGAATTAGATGATGGTTCTTAAAGAAAAGTTGGAGACCTCACGTAGCCGCATGGACTAAACCGCGTGGACGCGTGCGGCTGCGTGGCCAACCGGCCACAGGCCGTGGCTGCCGCATGGAGGCAGCACACCGGTGTTGGCCCAGCCGGTCAGGCAGCTCACTCCACTCGCCCGTTTTCCCCTCCTCCCTCTCGCTCTGCCTCTCCGTAGAGCCACACCGAGCTCGCCGCAGCTGCTCGCTGCCGACGCAGCCTCGTTGGCCGATTCGTCTCGGCCACAGTTGCTACGCCACCACCTCCACTTCCTTGAGCCACTAGCACCACCTACCGACCCTAGGTAGTGTAGCATTTCGCCTTGCCGCAACCGCCATCATCACTGAAGCTCCGCCGCGCTCGCGGCTCACCGTGGCCTGCCATTTCACCGCACCGCATGCCTCCATCTCCTCTGGTCCAACACTGCGCTAGAGTCTAGGTAATTAAGCCGGATCTAAGGGGTGACGACACCACCTGAATGCACCGGAACAAGTCGATGCTCTCCGCCCGCATCCACCATGGCCGCCGTGGCACTCGAGCTCGCTGATGTCGGGTTGGTTCACTGTCTAACTCCTTTCTCGCGCGCCTTAGGTCGAGTAACCCTAGACCTCGCTAGTGGCATCACGGAGACCCGCCTTTCGCCACGGTCTAGCCAGAATAGAGTGTGCACCACCGTGCTCTGTGCGCTGCTGCACGGCCATGCATGCGGCCAAGCTCACTGGCCCCACCTCGAGCCCTCACCTGCACTGTGTAGCTTCGCTAGGTCACCAGGATGGAGTAGCCATCCTCGCCTGAGTGTGTGATAGCCGGAGATGGCCGGCGTAACGCCGCCGACCTCCGCCGTCCGCCAAGGCCGCCGTCGAGCTTGCTCTAGCGAGCCACCAAGCCAACTAAACCTACCAGTCGATGCGCGTGGGTGAGATGAGTATAGTGGTGAAGACGCTACCGCCGGAGACCTCACTGTCGATGAGTTCTCGCCGATCAGCGTCGTCCTCTGTTTTGGTCTCATTGACGGGTGGGTCCCCATTGACCACGGCCCCAGTTGTCAGTCCGATATGATTTGATTTTCTGGATTTATTTCATAGCTTTGAATGCATGTTTCAAAAATTCATATCTTAAGCTAGGAGTGTCCAATTTTTGTGAACAAAATTTTGTTAGTTTCATCTTGAAGTGTAGTATTTGATAAAAATATGAAATGCACTGTTTCTGGTATGTTTCTAGGAGAATAAAATGTAGCTAGATAAATGCTTTTTAAATTGTTTCTATCTTGTAAATTGCATAACTTGAACTAGATAGGTGATAAAATTGTGATTCCAATTTTGCTGGACTTGTGTTGACATGCCCTAGCTAGAAAAAATACTAAACTTGTAGTGGTCATACTTTGAATATGGTCTTTATATTTAATTCTAATTAATTGCTAGTTTCTAGTGAAATTAATTGGGGTAAAAATACATAACATGTGATCATGCAAATTTTTGCACAGTATTATTATGCTTGGAGGAATGTAAGAAAAATATTAAATCTGTTGCTTGACACTTTTCACTATGCCAAAATATTTTTGTGTTAAAATAAGCCTATGTAATTTGTCATTTTTGTAGAGGTAGTCATACTTATCCAAATGGTATGAAAATTATACAGTAGACTACTAAGGACATTTGTAGGCTACTATAATTTTCATAGAATTTATTAAGCACTAGAAATAATTATCCTTTCAATCACCCTATTATTTAAGGAAATTAATAAATGGATATAAATAAGTTAGTTATGTTTAACCATGATGTTTTCTATGGTGCTTGTGATGCATATGATCTGTCGATGTTATTAGTAAGGCTTAAAAGCAATTGGTTGTATACAACTAGTTAATTATAGCTTTATAATTCAACTAGATGGTTGCATGTATAGTTTTTGTTGTGGTGATGATTTCACGATGATAATGATCTTTTCTGTAAATATGGTTAATAACAAAGTTGTAGATAACTTACTGATCTACCTTGTGTCAAATTTTCATAGTCATAGGCCATATGATTTTAGAATTTTGGCTATTAGAAGTCTGCTGTCAGAAATGCTTGCTCTCTGGATAGATCTTAAGGATTGATTTGTTTCACCTAGATAACTACTGAATCACAGGAAGATGATTAAAACGAAGTTGTAGGTAATTTCATAAGCTTTCCAGAATATCCACAACCATATTATTTTGATATATATAACTCTAGTTATGTCCAAAACAAGTGGCTGCTATCTTGTAGTTTAGGAAATGATTTACATAAGTGTTTGTTAGTTATTAGAAAAGAGATATGCACCTACTCAGTAAAATACGATGCAATTTGTTATTACTTTAATGCAAAGCTGTTGAAAACACTTCAGAGGATGTATTCATAATATTATATCATATTGTACATGTTATCATATATGTATTCGTGATATCTTATTTTTATGCTCATGCATATAGGATCATCCGAAGAGACAACTCTCCTAGAGTTCAACGAAGAAGAGGAGGATAAGTAGGAGAAACCTCAGGCCGCAGCTCTAGGAGAAGAGGAGCAAACTCACAAAGATCTCCCTGAGTGCCCGGATCATCGACCAACCTCTTTCCTTAAAGGCAAGCCCCAGAGCATTGTAAGCCGCCCATGTTTTATAAAATATCACTTGAGTACTTTATGTTTGATGCATTAGGTTATAAGAGTTGATTGGAAACACTTGATACATAGAACTACCTTGTCCAGTTATACATATCTTTAATCCTGTGTAGGTCCAGGATTGAATATATGCTTAGCCATGCTTAGACCGATAAAAGTCGGGTGATTTCCTATCACCTGCGATATATAGGTGGATACCGAAGCACGGTTGGCTATAATTGATATCATGGAAAAGAACCATGGGGCAATGTAAATGGAGGTCGGGCAGAGTCTATGTGTAAGCTAACTCATGTGATTCCGTTTGTGCCGGTTAAGGACCGTACCATTGTTGACGCTTCTGATAAGATTGAACGCATGCCTCTCACTTAGCTGTCTAGATAACTTGTTCCAATCGCGAAGCTGAGTAGCTTAACTCAGGCCAGGCCCTATTCTATAAAAGTGCGCACTCTGGATGGTAGTAAGAATGTGCGGGGAGCCAGACGTGAGCCCAAGGGCAGGGTAGTCCTGATTGTCATAGCAGCTAGTCGTCCCTGATTGTGCGGCGCTGGTCAAACCTGTGAAATGTGTACCTGAGTTGTACCAAAGGTGACCTAAGGGTACCGTGGCTGGTACACTTGGGTTTATGTTTGGAATAAATTTCTAGCTGGTTGAAATCGATTCGAATCACCGTCTCTCTCGGACAATGAGAAACTTTGGCTAGTCCCAACATCGTAGTAACTATGTTATGGAATATGATGGTTCAGATGAACATGGAATTACTACACCTGCTATGGTTACTATTGTATGCTACTAAATAATATACCACATGTTTGACATAGGTTAGTTGCTAATCTAGAAATGAATAGCTATAATTAATTTGATGACCAAATTATAATTGTACCACTGAATTAGTCGCTTTTTATGCAAAACGTTCTCAAGCTACCTCCACTTATAAAGTCTTACATGATCCTTGGAGTCATTTTATTTTGGTTTATGATGGGTAAGTCTAGCTGAGTACATTCTCATACTCAGGGTTTTATTCCCATTGTTGCAGATGGTATAGTTTAGCATGGCTATTGCAAGAAATGCTTTTGTCCCACCGTGGACGAGGAGTGAGCCCTATTCAGGCATCTCTTATTAATCTTTCTTATATGCTTTTGTTGGAGTGTGATCACGAACTAGCACTATGTATTTGAACTATGATGGCAGATGTAAGTTTGAAACTTTAAATTTGCTTCTGCTACTATTTACTGAACTTGGTTTGCAATAACCTCAATTCGTACTCTGATGCATGAACTGTATTTGTGAACCTTATGTAATATGTGACATGTATGTTGAATCATGTATGATCTTGGTTGTATGTTGATGGTTAATCGAGAGCCGTCGTGGTACTCGACGGACTACCGGGTTTATATGGGCTCAAGTATGACAATGCGACCGCTTGCGGGCTACCATTGTACTTGTGCTCTTATAAATTGGTCGGTTCTGCTACAGCTGGCATCAGAGCAAGATTCAACATAAATTGCCACATGTGTATTTAAAACAAAGGTTTTTATTTAAAAAAATAGTTGTTAGCAACTAATAGCTATATATATAGGTGTTTTAAAACCTAGAGTTTGAATCTAAAGTGTGCCAGTGATCACTTCCTTTATGCCCAGTTAAGGACTTCAGGTGGCAAATTAAATACTAACTTGGGGGTTTTCCTTTTTGTCATTCATATGGTGTGCTATTGTA